ATAAGAAACTAGAGGTGTCTTTACACATGCTCCAGGAGTGTGTGTGTGTGTGTGTGTGTGGTGGGGAGGAACTCAGGCTCTTGAGAAAGAGACTAATTAAAGCACCTGTAGCATCTTGGGTATTTCAGTGCCCCATACTTCAATATGGCAGCAGGGATGCTTTAACTAAAACTCATTTGATGAGCTTTAGTTAAAGCACCCCTGCCATCATTTTGAAGTGCCGGGGTAATGAATACACAAGATGCTGAGGCTGCTGCAGTGTGCTAAATAGTATGTTTCAGCAAACTCAATTAATCCAAAATGTAATTACAGCGCACTGGAGCAGGTTTCCCACACATCTACAGGCACCCTAAGTTTCAAGGTCAGCTTCAGTGTGCTGAGTCTTCCCTACTAAGGAAACAGAAAGTGTAATTTCAACAGGATCTTACTCAAACCAGTATCAGACTCTGCTGTCCCTGCTTGTTTCCCAACTTCCATAGTCAAAGTCTACATTAGCCATGTTCCATAACTCTTCCCTTGTAGGGACTAGTGTATTAAGGTACAACATCAACTTCAAGTTCTTATTTCTCAGTCTCTTTTGTTAGGAGTTCAACATGCTCTTCCCTGGATCCTCCCACCCATTCTGCACTTCTTCAGTGTTTTGTTCTGACTAAAGAGAATCTATGAATAGATTCAGCCAGACTCTTCCCTGGAGGTTTATTCCTTCATGGATCCACTTGAAGTCAAGCTATTGCAGTATCTCAACACTACCAGGCCCTCTCCCTAGGTCCTCAAAAGACCCCATAGATCAGCAGTCAGCAAACTTTTTTCTGCAGCAGGCCAGAATGACTTGCAGGTTCAAGGCAGGTCAGTGCTCATCCCTGCTGCCTGGATGCTACACAGACAAAGCCCCCCATCAAATACCACTGAAGCTTCTTGGGTCCACAGCCCATATCTAATGGCTCCAAGGGCCATATCTGAATCTTGGGTCCACAGCCCATATCTAATGGCTCCCAGGGCCATATCTCACCTAGGGCCCTGTAATAGAGCAACTCAGACAACTCTTCTACTTAAGCAGATTCTCTTCTTAAATTCTTCAGCTTCACCAGGTTCAAGCTGGTCTCTAATTTTCAGCAGGTGTGGCTTGGTGTCACATACTCTCATTATAACCCTCAGACTCATTCCCTTCACTTAAAGACTAACAGGTGTAAATGAGCCCCAGTCCCCTTAAAGAGCCAGATCACCTAGTGACAGTGACCAAACATTTTGCTCAGATGAGTGCAGACATCCATCACTGCATACATGTTTATTGCATCTCGCACCTCTCAAATCACAGCCAAAGTTGTAGTAGAAATAAACAACTGGAATTCATATTGTGAATATTCCAAGAAATGTTACAAATGGATCAAAGAAGACATGACCCAGGCTGAGTAACTGAAGGAATACAATTCAGTAGTTGGAGGAAGGATCAATTTTATACCCAAGAATTTTTGCAACATTTGTTTGCAGACCAAGATGTTATAGCTCCCACACGCAAGTAAACACACAGGAATCAAACTAACCAAGCCTGGATACAGGATGTTCTTTAATCTGTGCTTGTAAGGTACAAAGGAACAATTTGTACTTCTTTGGCAATATGTTGGAAGGTTTCCATGGGACTAACTGCAGGGAATGGCCAGCAGGCCTTGTTTGGTAGGATCAAATTCTACTTACCTGGAATATATTGCAACTACTAATCCTACAGAGTTCCAGACAGCTCCTGCAGAGATCTGCTGTGGCCTACTCCAACTCTGAATTCTGTCCCTAGGGAGACTGGGACTGATACCTCATGTTGGCCAAGTATGCCCAACTCTACCACCTCCTGAGCCCAGGACCATTGCCAAGAGACACGCCCTGACACTCTTTACCTCTCAAATCCACCAAATAAGAAGAGTAGATTGTTTAGGGAACCCCCAGTGCAAGCCCCAATTCCCCCATGAGACACTGAGCCCAAGTGGTGCAAATTCTAAAGGTACCTACGCTGCCTAATTGTTAGCCATGAGATCACAGAGAGCAAGAGCTAGTAGGCAAAGCTCATTTGCCAGTGGTATTACAGGTTCATGAAGGAGATAGTGTACACCTTGCCTATGTCTGGCAGGATAACAATCCATTGCTACATGCTGGAAGAGGCTGAGAGTAATTAGAGCTTCATGAAAAAACTGCCCTACATGTGTTTCTAGGCAGAATCTAGGGTTACTTTGCTCCCTGAAAGAAAGGCTTACTGGTTGTGCTAGCCTTCAGATGCAAAGTTTCCTATATGATACAAGGGCTTTTGCTCTAACATCACTTCTGGATGATGTATGGAGGTAAGAAAGATTAAGCATTAGTTAGAACTTCATGCTGGCAAAGCGGAAAAAGAAAGAGTCATAGCATGGTAAGTAGGAATGCAGGCAGGTTCAGCATCTTTTAAAAGGGGAAAAATTCTTGTCAGGGAAGAAAGCTCCATACAGCATGCACAAGCAAGATGTGCGTCTCACAAGATTTGACATCCACTTAGAATCCCTGCTGTCTCCTCAATTCACAGGTTCTCTTACCTGACTTGCAAAAAGGAGAGAGAGAGAGAGAGAGAGAGTGTACCTTCGCAGACCTTACACCACAGAGGAAAAAACAATGCAAGCAGGTAACATCAAAACTCCCATGGACTGCAAATGATCACATAATCAAAGCCTGAATTTATATTTTAGTACTGTACTTACTCTGGCTGGCCCCGGTTTAAACAGAGTAATGGGCAGCAATGGTGTATAGCCCAGGATGATAGGGCTTCTCTGCAGGACCTGACTAGCACCTTAAATGTCAATGCTGGAAGGTAACATGCAGTTTGAAATTTAGAGAGCAACATTATGTTGCTAAAATAGTCTGGGGGAATTTAGCATGAATCAAATACACAATCTAGGCCGAGCAGACCTTGCTCAGTCCATGCAGTTAGCAGTGAACAGCCAGTGGTAAGATTATAGTTTGCTCTCCTTCTTCTTTTGAAGTTAATTAAAAATATTTACTTCCAACCACAGCAACATGATTCCTCCTCAGCCTGACTCTCACAGCCTCCATGCAAAGTCCAAGATTGGCCTTAGCATGAAACTGAATTTTGCCTTAGCTTGAAGCTGAAATCTACCTCTGTGATAACAACCTAACTAGATACATCTACTGGAATCAGTTCCCTTTTGGTGGTTTTTAATTCACATATCTCAACTTGTATGTCATCCCATTCAGTAGCAGGCAAGCAGGTGGTCAGTGACCAGAAATTTATGGAGTATGGTGATAGAAAGCCATCATGTAACTGCTACTCCAAGATGGTCAGGTAAGGTCTCAAGTTTCAGAACACCACTGATAAAGTGGGCTGTTTGCTTCCCTTTGTCCTCCTCATCCCAGCTAAGCCCACCCTACCAAACCCCATCACTTCCAAGAACAGGAACACTCCTGATCTTTGGTTAAGTCCTCAAATTTGACTTCTGACCCTCCACTCTCCCTGCTCATTGATAAATGGCCCCAGAGGATGTCTTTGTGCACCTTCATAAGGTCCTAACCCAGACAGAGTAGGTTGGTGCATGAAGAAATCAGGGGTTTTGCAGCAGTTACCAGACAGCATAAGGGATAGCAGCAAGAGAGGAAAGGACCCATTGCTTAAAGCAGTAACAGAAAAAAGGAAATGATTTGTAAGCAGTCTGCTGGGAGAGGAAACAGCTGCTCCTCCAGTGCATGCAATACCAACTCTCTCCCAGCCTGTGTCAGCAACACAACCACAGCCCTGATTACTATGAAAAAGTAACATAGTTTCATGGGAGTTCATTGTTAACCAAATACAGGTGACATCATGATGACTGCTCCTGTAACTGTTCCCTCAAAACATGTTTGTCCATTTTCACCTTCCAAATGGTCTAGCCCCACACCTGGATCATAAGCATCTACCTTCTAATTCAATTATTTTCAGGGACAAAGAAGTGGCTCTTGAGGTGTCCAAGGATGTGATGCCTGCCCTACCTTTGTCTACCCAGCAGCACTGCCCCCAGAGCATGTCTAGTGAGGGGCATTTCCAGCAGCAGAAGCCGAGGACTGGAAATCACAGTTTATTTCCTATACAGAGTTAGCCTCGTTCAGATGCTAGCTAATGTTGCATTTGATATCATGAAGTAGGAAAATTATCTGAAGTGAGATGAATTCTTTAGAATGTAACTGTAAATCAACACATTTCCTCCACACGTACATAAAAAGCATTTACAAAATATATATATTTTCACCTATCAAAAATATTAATGTATAATCTGCTCCACCCTTTACACATTGCCCTTTTGGGGACCTGAGCATTTTTGGGCATTAAAAAGAAACAGGTGCCTAGATTTAGGCTCAGACATCCATGTTTAAGTACATCTATGGCCACAGGGTAAAGACAACCTGCTTACATTTAAGTGTTGCGCTCCTGAAGTCATGTGCCATTGAGGCAATACATCATGATCACTTCCTGTTGTGAAAACTTCCTGACAAATACAGGCTTTGCCTCTAGCTTTTTTTCGACTCATTTATATACAAGCTCCTTCTCCTTCAAGTCATGGAGGGAGATGCGGTCCTGATCAGCTCCTTTCCCCTTCTCATACATTAGCTGCCCCCTTTCAGAGTACAAAGGAGCACCCTGCACTGGACGTGTCCCTTCAGCAGACTCCAAGCCAAGTTAGTGGAGCAAGTTCCTTGAGGTTATCATTGCCCAACAAGTGACTGGCCTCCCCCTTCCTTGCTCCTCATGCACTTGGTGGCACACACCCTGCGGGATCATGCACTGATTATCTGAAGGAAGGGAGAGAATAGGCAACATCTCAGCACATTTCTTCACACACATATCCAGCTGAAGAGGATAAGGAAGTGGCAATACAAGTTGTTTCCCTATAGCAGGGGGCATTCCTACCTTACAGGTATAGAAACTGAGGCACAGAAAGGTTAAGTAGCTTACCCAGTC